TTTAGCTCGGACTCACGTATACCTTACTAGGTAGGACACAAAGATTAGTTACTCTTCACTAAGTTATTGAAGATTTCTCTGCACACCCCTCCTAAAACTGTTCTGTGCCTCAACTGTTGACATATGCCTTGTTAGAGTTATAAACCAGTTTGAACTATCCTAAAATTCACCAATTTCAGTAAAAATTATGCTTCAATACAATCAACTGCTAAATATAAAAATGAAAATAGACATGAGACAGTTGAATAGTATCCCATAGCCATTTCAAGGTGGATAGCAGCTGGTTATATATAAAATTGAAATGTCAATAAAGTAGTCACAGGATGTGGTTAAGAACTTGCTTTTTCTAACATATCAGTCACTCAATACTATGTCAATTAACTCCATAGTGTTGTAAATTGTTGATGTTATGTTGTGGCTTTTCATTGGTCGGGATGATATTCTGCCAGCTATGCTTTCAGACCAGAGATGGTCTCCAGAAGAAACTGTTGAATTTATCTGGACAATAAAATGCTGGACTATGCATGGTACATGCTTGGAATGAAGGAATCATGACTGGATTTGGACTGTAATACTGCAACAAAGTGGAGGGAACCACCATGGGGGGAGCGCATAGTGGGGTTGGGAGAAATCCCAAAGCCTATGAAACTGTGTCATAACATGAAATGAAATAAAAAACAAAAAATAATAAAACTGTAGATACTTATTTTTAACTTTGTTTACACAAGTGAGATTGAAAAAAGATCTAAAGTTTAGTAGATTAGTAGAGTGCCCATTCACTGAGTTCTTTTTACTGTCCTTAAAGAAGCTCACAGAAAAAATGACCTGTAACTAAAGCTTATTCTGCTACAAAAAGTGGTAAATACACACATTATTTATTCAGAACACAATTTTATGATATTTCTGAAAATCCTGATTTTTTATGGATTAAAGAAGGGTTTACAGGGCCCGGCGCCATGGCACAGTGGTTAAGGTCCTCACCTTGCATGCCCTGAATCCCATATGGGCGCCAGTTCTAATCCCGGCAGCCCCACTTCCCTTCCAGCTCCCTGCCTGTGGCCCGGGAAAGCAGTCAAGGACGGCCCAAAGCTTTGGGACCCTGCACCCGCGTGGGAGACCCGGAAGAGGCTCCTGGCTTTGGATCAGCATATCATTGGCCGTTGCGCTCACTTGGAGAGTGAAACATCGGATGGAAGATCTTCCTCTCTATCTCTCCTCTCTGTATATCCGCCTTTCCAATAAAAAATAAAATAAATCTTTCCAAAAAAAGGGTTTACAACAAAATAAACATCTTTTAATTGCATTTTTCCCACACATTTTCTGATATACTCTCATAGGTGGGATATGTGGCACAGAAATGGCGTGTTAATAAAGTATGTTCACAGATGACTTTTCTTAGAGTGCTCTAGATTTTTCCATATTTTCTATGACTCCAAGCAACTAACATTATTCAAAAATGTTAAATTTGCCAAGGTGTGTTACTTTATGTACACTAAATCCTGATTAATGATTCTAGGAGTAGTTTGCACCATACACAGGAATGACTGATATTTGTTTAAATCTTCATCTTCAGATACCTTTTAAGTAAGGATTTGCACTTGGAGACAACCTAGTAGAGCTCTTTTAGGGAATAACCTAGCCGAGAGAATTTCAGAATCTTCTGCTCTAAAATCCTATTAACATGAAAATAGTAAAATGACCGCAAATAACAGGCACTCCCTCTGGCACTGTGAATGCCTAAAGCAGTCTCCTTTTTCTATAATAAACTAGTTGTGTTCATATCATTTTGTCTGCATCACTTTATTTTTGTCACCTTTGGTGCTATAGGAGTGTGCTAGAATGGGATGGCTGTGAATCAGACTAGCTGTAATTTTTATTGCAGTCCTGTCTCAAAGCAAATTTATAGGCTAAACTTCATATCAGCAACTGCTAGACGGAGCATGCCTTTGTTGTAAATTACAAAATGATCTGCTATTCTAAACTTGAAGTATCTTGAAAATAAACTGCTTCTGATATCAGATATAATGTAGACAATACATTAAGATATTGTTATGAAAATCCTCTGTGTACAAAACAGTTTCAGCAACTAAACTATGTCACAGTTATGTATTTGTGTTAATATTTAAGGTGAAGGTTTGTCACAGAAACATTACATTAGCGACAACAACATTAAATTTGTTTTCTTTTGCTGCAAAGCTAAAGGGAAGCAGAAGTTATTTGACAATACCATTGTCCCTTCTTATCCACGAGAAATCAATTTCAGGAGTCCCCAGGCATATCAAAATCCATAGATGTTGAAATGCCTCATGAGCAACCACACAGTATTTGCCTCTATGTGGTAAATCTCCATGATTTAAATTACATCCAGATCACTCATAAATACTTCATACAAAGTAAATGCAGTGTAAATCATTGATATCTTCAATTGTTAAGGCACAAGGCAAAGAAAAAAATGTATGTGTACATGTGTATTATACTCAATTTTTTTCAGCAGTGTTTATAATCCAAATTTGAATTCATGAATACAAAAACTACAGTTATAGAGAATCAGCTGTGAACATTTGGGCATTCTAGACATGCATTAAAATGTTTGCACAGAAGTGTGGCTCTAGCCTACAGTGTAACTTTCAACACTGAAGTCTTCAAATGCGTATAACCCAAGATGGCTTCCTAGAACTGCCAATCAGCAAATAACCAATCTTACACTTCTAGGGTTTCTGGTGGCCCATAACACCAGTCTTACCAACCTAGACCTTCAGATTCTATTTAGTGCTGTGCCACCAGCTGACCTTGATGCTGAGTTCACAGGAATAGACTGACTGTGGCCCATGGCCCATTAGAACCTGTACTGAGAAATCTCAATCCTGCCCTTCGTGTTACCACTTGGTGAGCATCTTCCCCTAAACATTAGAGAATGATTAAAATGTTAGCATTTGAATACTACTACCGTGTACTGTTGATTAATTATGAGATGAGAGTATTTTGTACTCCTACTACTTAAATAGCAGTAAGTTTTTCTCTCAAAAAAAAAAAAACTGATCTTGCTACATTATTTAGATTGCAGCATGTTCCAGTGGTAAATGCCTTCTTGTCACTCTGGTATTAAGTTGCACCCTTGCTGCAAATAGCTCACTTTTATTTCTTCTCATGTCTTCAATCATTCATTTCTATAATTCTTTCAAGTGGTACAATTAGTTCAGTGATTGTAAAATATTACAGAAAACTCCTCTCATCAAACAGAGCATCATTTTAACCATACCTGTAGTACAAATATACATTATTCTAGTATTTTCCATATGGTAAAAGATATAAATTCCCAATAAACTGCCAACTTTTTTGCTAAAGGTGGCTATTTGAAATTGGCAAAATTACTTCTCTAACCACAGCACACAATTTATTGTTTGCAACACAATTTTGCTTATGGGGGAGACTGGTGCAGTACCAGAGTATTCCCAGTGCTAGAGATAAATTTTGCTTATGGGGGAGACTGGTGCAGTACCAGAGTATTCCCAGTGCTAGAGATAAAACCCTAGGGAAATCACCAGCAGACCCCATCTAGACACAGACCAAGGGCAGAGACATCCATGATATGAGGTTTAGGACGCATGGCTGTGGAGTGCTGTGGGCATTTGTTCTTGTTCAAATATGGTACCGTGTCTCAAAGCATCTGCTCCCACTGCCAGGCAGCAGCACGTTTGCAGCTTGTCAGTGTCTGATTTGGGGCAGAATGCCAAAAACATATACTTGTTCTTAAACATCAGTCATTAGACTAGTAATTTGCTTTCTGGGGTAGAATTATCGACAGATGGACTCATACACTGAAATTTAAGAAAAGTGACTACCAGTCCAGAGATGGATAACATGAAAATAATAACTATGATCCCTATGCGATGGCACAGTGGTTAAGGTCCTCGCCTTGCACGCCCTGAATCCCATATGGGCGCCAGTTCTAATCCCGCAGCCTCGCTTCCCTTCCAGCTCCCTGCCTGTGGCCCGGGAAAGCAGTCCAGGACAGCCCAAAGCTTTGGGACCCTGCACCCACGTGGGAGACCTGGAAGAGGCTCCTGGCTTTGGATCGGCATAGCATTGGCCGTTGCACTCACTTGGGGAGTGAATCATCGGATGGAAGATCTTCCTCTCTGTCTCTCCTCCTCTCTGTATATCCGCCTTTCCAGTAAAAATAAAATAAATCTTTAAAAAAAAGAATGAGTTGAAAATCCTTCATTAAAAAGAGAGAGAGAGAGAGAGAGAGAGAGAGAGAAAGACATCGGAATACATGTTGAGCTTCAAGAACAAATTTATTCCATTTAAATACAAATAGAAGTCAGCACAAAGCCCCTCAGTGTAAACACTATGGCCTTTGGATACATCCACATTTGAATTAAAACTCAGTCCCTGATTGCAAGATTCTATTCAAATCACTTACTTTCAAACAGAATTTTCTTACCTAGAATAGGGATTGAAATAGTTCTGAATGTGATGTAATGCTGTCAATATTGTCAGCTAGCTGATATGTATATAGTAGCCACTCAATAAATAATAACTACCATCACTCATACATAATTTTAGACTATACCTGACCTCAAAACCTATTCATGTAAAATACAATTATTTTATGAAAAATATGTAATGTGATTTACTGCAATGGCTACCATATGTTGAAAACATTTTTAAAAACTATTAAAGTTCTTGAGATTATTTAGCTATGTTGTTTCCGTTTTGATGCAATGGTTACATTATTGTCCTAATGAAAGGTCACAGAAAACATTGCATTATACTTAGGAATTTTCATCTTTTCTGCAATAATGATTTCATCCTGTCCTAATTTACCATAAACCTGGGTGGAAGTTCTTTTTCTACGTTACTTTTCAATGTTAAGAAACAACAAACTACAAGAAGCCATTGGACATCTGTCCTCCCATATGTTGCCTTTTTCTTTTTTGCCACTTGAGAATATTGAGTGCTCTTTCTTGTGTCTCTCTTCTTGCCCAATGATTAAGGTCTCTCCAGGACCTTTCCAAGCAAACAGAAATCCCTTATGGCACAGTGCTGGACTCCGCAGTGTATGAGAACGTTCGCATGAAGGGACTGAACCCTTTCGAGAGGGACAACATGTATTCCCAAATGTGGCGGATGATCAACCGAAGCAATGGAACAGAGAACAATGTTCTGGAGTCCCCAGCAGGCATTCAGAAGGTACCGGCCATGTTTTATCATGAATAACTTCCCCTGTCTTGTCAGGCGCAAGTCCTTTTTGGCCTTTGACCTCAGCATACAGGTTTCAGCAAAACTATGTATTCTATGGATTTAAAGAAGGTATTTGGAATGACTTGGTATACCGCAGAAAGAGTATAAAGGGCTCTGTAGTGTGTCTCCCAGATAAATTCTAATAGATTTCTAAAGCTGTAAGCACACACATTACTCTTTTGCTCAAAAAGGGTTAAGGAATTACAAACAGGAAGACAAAAGTTTTTTACAAATCCCATTACAAATATCATTCAGGTTATCCAAGTCTTTGAAATAACTCGGGGCACTCTCAATACTGCATTTGTTTTCAGATTAAAATTTTATCTTTATATTGTGATTATGCAAAGCTGTCTAGAAGCAAAAGCTAATCTTGTCAACAAATAAGATTCCTACCAATGTCTGTTTCTATTTCCAATGTGAACATCTCTACTTACATCTTATTTTTTCTGTAACCATCATTTAGAAGTAACTACAAAAAAAGGCTTGGAGAAACTTTTTCCTTTGTATGAAAAACTTAAAGTGACTTACTCCAGGCTGCAGTTTATAAACTTAGACAAAAGCAATTCAGACCCCGCCAACCTTTGTGAGAGAACGATCTGTGTGCTGTTTAACATCCCTCTCAGGACCAGCCTAATAAACTCTCATGATTGGCCTTCGGTAAATAGTTACAGACAGAAAGAATGAATGTCAGAACATGAGCCATAAGGGTTCCTTGCTTTTGCTCCATGCCCCTCCAGCACAGAGTACATCAGACCCCAACTCTGAGTTCTCTGTTTAGAAGGCATACTCTAAAATATTGCTGTAGAGGATGTTTTGACTTCAAAAAACTTGCCACAGGTTTCAGCATTTTTCTCTGTGTTTTCACACAATGCCCTTTACCTGTTAATATTAAGGTTTCTAGAGTCAGCCTAGTAATGTCTGCAGTCACCAAAACATCATTTGGAGAATTGATGATGTTGACATAAACCTCTGGGTACAAAGGATGCCTTTAAGGAAGTGAATGTCCTTGAGCGGTTGGTAATGTCCTCTAGCTTCTTTGCCCATATCATATCATATCACTATATTATATTATATTAATTCCATTTTCCCAGGGTCCAGATGATAATTCTGTAATATTTTTCTTAGTTTCCTCAAGAGCCACTGGATCCTGAAAATTGAATATGTCCTTTAGTTAGTGTAATAGTGGAGTGGGTGGTGAGTTGGACAGTTGAGGTAGGTGACTAGGCACATGAAGGAGGAGATGTAGGTGCACATTTTAAGGTTTATTAGGTAATCATAGATGCAAGTGAATTTGGGTGCCAGACTAAGTATACTAACTTCATGACTCTTAGAAGAGGTTTTTATTTTTATCCCTCTTTAGATTGTTTACTATTGAAAAGAGATCTTATTTCTTGATGAATAGTATATAGAAATTTGTAGTTGACATCTCAATTCTAGACACCAAAGTTTCCCATGCCTCACTACCTCTTTCTATACATAGGGTACCATTCCAGAGAAACTTTCTTCACTCCAACTAGATGCCCAGTAATAAAATCTTGCGGTTGTACTCATTCACTAACTTATTCATTTTCAAATATTTGCTAAGTATCAATTATGTAACTGGTGCTGCGCTAAGAACTGACATTGAGAAACAGCTACTGGAGGTATGAAGTATAGTGTCTGGTAAGGAATATAAAACAGAAATTTTTAAAAAAGAAATCTTATGGTTAAACAAAATTATTTTCATTATTACACATGCTATGAAATAAAGCGAATAGGGCAAAGATTAAAGGGAGGGTTTTCATGCCAATTGGCTTTCTGAGTCTTATTTTACAAATCTGGAAAGTAACAGGAAGTAAATGGCTCAGTTTCTCAGGCACACCTATTTGGGTTAGAATCCAGCTCATTTTTAAAAATACAGGACTAGTTTCTTGAAATGTCTAGGCCTTAAAAGTTCTGTGATAAGAATTTCTATCTCACACAATTTTTATCATGATGAAATATGATAACATATGCAAAACACTGATAAATAGTGAGAGCTATAAACCTAATCGTAAGATTGTACTAAAAAAAAGTAACTGGAAGAATTCCTGTGATGGATTTATAAAAGAAGTTTCATTACTTGATATTCCCTTTCATTAGCTTAAAATTGTGACATATTCAAAAAATAAAGTAAAAATAGAATAGTTTTAACTCTTGATAGTCTGCTGAAATTGAGAGCTAATGAATATAAACCAGGTACTCAAATATTTATTGCACCATCATTTATTCAGTTTTCTAAAAAATGGCTTTTTAATTGACAATAGAGAATATCTTAGTGCACTTGCTAGTACGAAATTTTCAGTATGTGGCTCTTAAGTCAAAAACAGTGATTAAGCTGCAGCTGAACAGTGATTCAGCTACAAAAATCAGTAGTGATGATCAAATATATTTTGGTTCAGTTTCCAAGATCTTAGCTAATTTCTCTTAGAAATCCATGCCAGGCAATCCATCCACAAATAATACTCTTCTCACCTGCAAAATCTAACTGGAGGCTCACAGAGCTGATAATTGTAATATGTAAGATGTGACGGCGGATTCTTCTTCAAGCCACTAGTCTTGCACATCTCACACGGCAGCTTTCCAGTCTCTGTCATTGATTTTTAATTTGTGCAAGCAGAAAAGACCTCAGAAGACTGCCAGGTTAACATTGCACAAAAGGCCAACTTTCTTTTGCAATATCTTTGACAGGAATCCATATATTTAATAACTGCCTTCTAGCAGAGCCGGTGCCATGTTAAAAAACATTCCTTACAATCTATAACTTTAAATAGATCCCATTAGCGTCTCAGGCTGTGCTTACTCTTAATTGTTCTGTCTCACTGAAAGGTAGATCCTGTTACTATCTAACACTTTTCTTGCTGCTTTTACCTAGGAAATCCATATAAATTGAGCACTAAGTAGATGGGTTCTGATTTGCTATTGAGAGAACCACCTGCATTGAACTATTCTAATTAAATGAGAACAAACTGTTTCTGTCTCAGTCAGCACAGGATCTTCTGCATGAGCAGGAAAAGTATGATTTGAAAAATGGAACTGATTTTTTTTCCTGCATATTTTTTTTATTTATTTGTTTTATTACTTGATGATACAGTCCCATAGGTTCTGGGATTTCCCTCCCCAACCCCTAGTGATTTCCCTTACCTTATTATAATATAATAGTACAGTCCTTAATAAACAGCCTTAAGTCCATCATTTGGTTTTTTCACATGTATCTTAGTATTGTAGGTATGAACAATTGCAGAGAGTTCAGCATCCTATTATCAAGATATATTTAACAGTTTCATTGGGAGTGCATCTTTGATTTGAAACGAGAGATGCATACTATATTGTAGTTTCACATCTGGATGGGATAGTCACTATTACACGGTTATTATACATTCCCTTAAATAAAGTCATAAAACAAAATCAACAAAACTAAGAAAAAACAGAAAATTAGCAACATGAAAGTAAAGAACATGCTACTGAATGAGCAATGTGTCAGTGAAGGAATGAAAAAGAAAATATCAAAAACACTTTTTGAAGAAAATTATGCTACCAAATGACCTATGAGTCAGTGAAGGAATAAGAAAAAAATTTTTTGAAGAAATTATTATAAAAACAAAAATGTCATACACCATGATATGCACCAAAAACAATATTGAAAAGGCCGTGTGGGAGGAATCAAGATGCCAGAAGATGGTAAGGACACATTTAAATGGATGGAGAAACATTTAATAAGGATGAAGCAGAGAAGACACATTTCAGGAAATAGGAAAGAACAGCAGCAGAGGGGTACCTGGAGACTGACAGACACAGGAAAGCAGTGAAAACAATGGTATGGTGTTGCAGTGACTGATACTCCAGGCAACTGAGCTAATGGCGATCTGAATCTCCACCAGCAACCAGGTGGGAAGGGACTTCACTGGGAGCTTGGGAGGTGAACCCAGACAAAGAACTGTGGGTCCTGCTGGTCTATTTAATCTGACCAGGAGTAGAGACAGAGCAGCAGATCCCAGATGGGCAGTGTAGAAACAGGGTGGATTTCACAGCCCAGTGAGCCCCCTAGAGCTGAATTGGGCACAATTTTGCTTAATGATGCAAAGGCAATGGAAAGGGCTGAGCATAGGCTGACCTTGGAGTGAACTCATTTCTGACTCCGTGAACTGCAGCAACATGGCATTCTATAGGTTTCACCAAAGACAGGTCTTGGTAGCCCTCAGACCTGATAGCCAGCAGATCAAGAACTCTAGTAGTGGCATGTTGGGCACCATTTTGTACACTGTGGCAAGTTTTAGGACTACAGGGGACAACAGTGAGCTGCGCATGTGCTGAACTGATGAGAACTCACCAAATCCAATGGATTGCACTGGTCCCACAGGAAAATAATACTGACTGTGGAATCGTACGGGTCAAAATAGGTCCATGTGTCACCAGACCTAACGGCCAACAAGTTCCGACAAGATCAGCACCACAAACAAACTAGCTATATAGGACACCTGGTGTCTCCCTAATCCTGCGACCTGCTCCAACCGAAAATGGGAGAAAGGCTGCAGAGACAAAGGTGCAGCCTCAGCACGTTACCACACTAGGTGGGAGTGGTAAGCCAGAAGCTGGGGCTACAGAGACCATGGCGGAAATCTAACATAAGAACCCAGTCTTGGAACTTGCTGGAGAGAGTGGCACAATTGGCTGCAAGCAAAGAGCTGTGTACGAACTGCGATAAGTAAAATCGACTGTAGACCTGTGGGTGACACAATTTAGAAACCTGTCCCATGGACAAGAATCTGCTAACCAGAAGTACAGTGACCAAGAGCAAAAGAAGAGATAAAGGCATAATTAATATTACTGAAAACTCACCTGCAAAGGAGCAAAACCCTATGTCAATCTCAGAGTTAACTGAGAAAGACATTGAGAAAATGGGAACAGAGAATTCAGAAAACTCATTATAA